TAAGATATAGGGCCTACCTGGGATTTCGGGAGTTTATAAACGCTACCCCTTAGGAAAGCTGATCCTCAGCCTCAGCACTGACACGAACTATAAATCCAAGGGTCTGGGAGCTGAGGGTCTGCAATGACACTAGTGAGCTCATTACTGTCACAGATAGAGACACAGATAAACACAGCGCAAACGCCGAGGAAACTGCCACATGTGCTCCCAGGTGAGGGACTATCTCTAATCCTTCCATCTTGTTAGGCAGAGGGGACTAACTTGTCTGATCACTGTCCCACGTGTCCCAGAACAATTATTATTTTACTTTTAATTAACTCCTGCTCTTTAACCCAAGCCACAGCTCAGAGAGAAGTGTGTCGCATAACTATGAAGTGCCTCAAGTGTTCTGCATCCTGATAGTTTTATCCAGCCTGTTTTTCTAATTTACTCTGCATAAATAGTTATACCAAGGACTGTGGGAGTAAAACCCCACATAACATCACGTATTGCCTGAGAACTGTCAGGAGGGTTGAGGAAGTTGGCTGTCTGGTTTCTTCTCCTTTCCTGGTCCCCCCAGGAAAACAGATCCTCAGCTGACAGAAAAATCATTGACTCTGAATCCCATCTATTTACTTTCCAAACAGATTAAATGCCTCTCGCCAAGAGAAAAATAGATTCTTTTTGGTGAAATGGTAATACTTATGAAGCTCCTAACTACTCCCAGAATTTTCCCAGAGCAGAAGTCCCTGGACACTCTCTCGTACACACACACATAGAGATGTTCTTAGTGTTCCAGGAACCTCTGTGTCCAAACGTTCACCCCTGGGCTCTGGCATGTCGCAGACCAGCGTTGAATCTCTTTCTGTGACTTCATACACCTCCTTGCTATAGCTAAAGGAAATCTTTGAGGATGACATCTACATATGTGACCTGACCAAGAACCGCATCCAAGACCCAGGGCAACATGTGGCCAGGGTCATCTTCTAAACTGCCAAAGTTACTTGGTTTTGGTAGTGGCTACATTTCTCTACAAATGTCCTAAGGCCCAGACATAAGCACTGCCAAACAGATGTCTTAGGAAATGTGGTTCTCTCAGTCACTTGGTAATGTATTCCAATAGTTATTCCTAATGCTTAGCTTGACCACTTTTCCATGTGCCTATTTCTTTGGCTCGTGACCTGTGAAAATGGCTCTTCTCTGTCACCTCCGCACAATCACTCCCTTTGTCTGTAGGCTGCATCTTTGTACCATTTGGGGCTAACGGTGCTCAATTCTTTTTCTTCCAAGTCTATTATTTTTTGGTTCCTTCTGAGAAAGAAAAAAAAAAGAAAAAAGAGAGCAGCCTTCTATCATTTTAATTAAAAAAAAAAAAAATCAGC